CGTATACGAACCTCATACGCTACATTTAACTTCAAGCCATTATCAAGCCTCCAACCCGGTTAAACGATTTTACCGACCTATTCTACAATCACTGTTGCCCTGCATGCTACTGATTCCTTTGCAGTGCTGTGGACATATTCCTCTGCAGTGCTCTGAATGTGCAACTAAGTGTGAAAACCCGGGGAATCAATCCTTTTTGCCTTTTAAGCCTGTGAAAACACCACTGCGAACGTTTCTTATTGTGTCCTAACTACACCACACACTCAATTGCGAATATGAACGAACCAATTATTTAGCCTTGATCGTTTTTGAACGGATGGATCCATATATATTCGGTGCGATTATTTAACCTTGATCGTTTTTGAGCGCACCCATATAAATTCATTTTTTCAGTAAGTCGTATTGACTGGTCGATTCATGTCTTTGTATGATATTTTCGGCGAGGATCCGGTGCAGGAAAGCTCGAAAAAAGGTGGCGATTCGAGGAGCGCTGGCAAGCGTAACTTCTTTGTTCTTGATTGATTGATGATTGCTTTCGTTTCATCTTTGTAATTCTAAGCATCTTTTTAGGTCTTCCATCAGGACTGCGTTTTTTGCAGTCGCAGATTCAAGTGAAAAAATTCCAGCTCAACCAAGCACAGGTTCGCTGTTCCCTGTCAATGATTTCTTTACACTCAGTCAAAGCATTATTCATAGAAATACACTCACAGTTCCACTGAAACCAGGCTTGTTGATTTCAGCGTACTGTGGTTGCACCAGTGGTCGATCTGTCAGCGCGCAATAAATCGTCAACTACATCAACGGCACAGCCAATAATAGCGGCTCTTCGACCGCACAAGGCCATACCTCTTGGTGAAGGTCCACCGCTTTCATTCATTCCAAAAGCGCTCAAAGAAGATAAGGTTTCGAAATTTTTGATGCCACATTCTTTCTACAGTTATGATTTTTCATTCTCAGTTTGCTTAGCCACTATTTGGTTCATCATGCAAAAATGGCCAATGCGCATCACAAAGCTATTCGTTGTGTTGGATTTGACCATANAGTCTTCATTTGTTGAATGATCATCTTTCTCCGTTTCTTGATAAATATGCATTGAAGCATAAAAGCATTCCTTGGATGGAGAGAATATTCTCCATGATTTTGGTGGAAGCTTTTTTAGTGACCAGTCCGATTGGTTTGTTTCATTTTCCGTGGTGGCTTCTGTTTATTTGGAATGATCAAATTTTCAGGGAACATCAAGAAGAACTGTCGAAACGTAGTAGTGGTGCTGCTATAGCGCCACCTCAGGCCCTTATGGAATCCGACAATCGACTCGAACCTGAGGTGTCTATGAGTTCCACATCAGGAGAAAGTGGCGACATGCATCCACCCGTATTTATGCCACCATTCGGGGTCGGCAAAGGAATGGGAGTTGCGGCTAATATCATGACAAAATTTGGATACAAGGTACATTCTCAAATTGCTTGTTTCATTTTAAATATTTGATTTTTTAAAGTGGATCCATATTTGTTTGAATTTTTTAGACATTAGTTGGCTGTACGCTGTTTAAAGTTTAGGAAGGAGCAGGCTTGGGACGTACTGGTCAAGGAATGAGTACAGCGCTGAAAGTAGAACGACTGGGCAAAAATGCTGGTGTTATCGTCAATGAGCATGAACAAAATCTACGAGGTGACCCAATTGCTTCATTGAAAATTATTTATTTTCATTGAGATGATTGTTTTAAAATTCTCCTTATTCAGCATGGACACTTTTATTTTGTTACTTATTATTGTCATCAATTTGCTATCGTCTCTAGTTAGCCGACTGCCATAAAACAAGACATGTATGCCAATAACAGTATTCTCAGTTCTGGCATCATCTTATTGACAGTGTATTTTTTTNTTTTTTTGGTATATCTATTTAGTTTTTTGGATGTTTCATCTATTTTTGAAATCATTGCCCGAGATGAGTTATTTTGTTAGCTGCTGCTGCTGCCGCAACTATATCAGGTGTTCCATCACCACCCGAATTTGTTGCACCCGAGTTACCGCCACCGGTTGGAGTCCCGCATCCTGTCAACGCTCCGCCAGTAACTCATCAACCCGCTGCGAATATGACCGAAGCACTCAAGAATGCTACTCGAATACTCATGCTCCAGGTTCATTTCTTTAATTGCTCACTGTATTTGATTTTTAGTTTTTTCGCAGTTATCAATTCCATGTTCACAAGATTGCTGAGAAGAGGGAAATGTTAGTTAGAATAAAATTGAAACTGTTTTCTTTTGGTTGGAAATGTTTGATTTTAATTATTTTCAAGTAGCTTCCAATGAAACTATTCGTATTTTGAATCTGAAAATGTGTCCATAAGTCGTATTGAAGTTGGTATTTGTTGAGAGGAAGTTTTGTTGGTATCGTTACGCTCGACTTTGATGGTATGTAAGTAAACGATCGCAAATATTTTCAGAACATGGTTGGTGCAGACGAAATCGATGATCGATTGGAACCGGAAGTGAAGGATGAAATGAAGAAATATGGCCAAGTTACGAAAGTTCTCATCTACAGAGTAAACAATTTCATTATGATTACGCAAATAATTTTGTTCGTTTCGATTGCGACGCTTTTTAAATTTAATGTTCACGAGTGTACGCCATTTATTGCGTAATGGAGCAATTTGAACAGTGAATTTGTCTTTTCTTCGGACGTTCGCGTGTTCATTGTTTCATTGGAATTGTTTATGGAGCATTCTTGGAATTGTGCAAAATTCGATTGCTGGGACATGGTTGAGATTGATGCTAGACAGTTTCTGTTCGGTTGACTTCAATGAAATATTACGAATGAATGAGATAAGGTCAATTTTTCAGCTGTTGAATGTGAGTGATGAAGAGGCCGTAAGAATATTCATTGAATTCACAAATGTCGCCCAGGCAATTAAAGCGTTTGTGGATTTGAACGGTCGCTACTTTGGTGGACGTGCTATCAAAGCATCATTCTATG